ACCCTGATCCTCCACCTTGGACTAAGCCCTGAGCCCCTCCCACACTCCAAACCCCTTGGCCCAAGACCAGAGCTTGCACCTTAACCTCCTACCCCAGCCTGGTGAAACGGAGTGAGGATGGGGGAAGAAGGGGAATGGAGTCAGCAGGGTGAGGCCTTGGAGCAGGGGCAGGGCCTCAAAAATGGGTGTGAAGGAAGCGGGGAAGGGTATTTGGGTTTGAGGTAGATCTTGCGTTGCACTTAAATTGAAAAAGCGGTCTTGTGGTTAAAAAGCTTGGAGACCACTGTTCTATGAGGATAGTGGGTCCCCAGCCACAGACAGGTTTGCAAGGCTGCAATCAGAGAAGGAAGTATTGGAATGTGCTGAGCCCAGGCTCCTAGTTCCAGGGCAGGACACAACCTGAGAGCACAGGGAGAGGTACCAGAAGCTCCATGTGCCTCTTTCTCACTGCTGCCCCACACACCTGCCTGCTGTGGGATCCTTTCTTCTCAAGAAGGTTGTTAGTAAGTGATATTGACATTGCTGGTATCCAAATCCCATTAACATTGAATTAAATGTCATTATTAACCAAAAGTTGTTTAATTTGGGGAACACTGATAAGTAGCATCAATTGTATTTTATGTTAACATATGGACTTCATTAGTGCAACCGACCATGTTTTTAGTGTCAGGGATGAGACAGGGATGCAGTGAAACAAAAACAGAAAATACAAAGGGTGAATTCTAAGTTTTAAGTTTGCAAAGTAAGGTGGGCCAGTGTTCCATAGTTTGGTTTATTTATGTATCACAATTAAGACGTGATCAATTGGCTAAACAATAGACCATCCAAACACTAGGTAAAACTGGAACAAGAATGGAGCCCATATTAACTATTCATCATAATTGTTGGATTAAAAGAAAGTCAGGTCACTAAAAATAAAAAATTGCCCATTCATCTAGACCCCCTTAGAATTTTTGCTCCAGTTTTTTAAATTCTAATTACTTAGATACCTTTCCCTAGTTACTTTGATTAAAAATCGGGAATGTATCTTTAGGATGTATGTTGCTGTTTGTTGTGGGCAAAGAGCAGAGACTAGTCAGTTGGGGCAGCTGTTCCTGGTTCCGAGCTGAAATCCTACCTATAGGTATGTAATAACGTAAAGATTTCACATTTTCAGTATTTATAAATCAAACATTTTTATGGTGAAATCTAAGTCTGAGCTGGCTCTAGCTGGACCTTTAACAAGCACTTCAGGAGTTAACCCAGAAGCAGGCTGGAACAAATGGTGTATACAATTCATAATGAAAAAGATGTTAAGAAAACAATCCAGATGGAGGGGGATTTGGATAAAGAAATTGATCTAGTTAAGTTATTCTCTGTATGGGAAATGGGATATATATCTTTAATTTTTGCAGCTCATAATTTTTACATATATTACTGCATAGATTACTCCAATTAGTATCAGTCATATCTTTGCTATTAGGAAGGTGCTTGGTTGGAGAGGCTGCAGGAAGAGGGAATGTTCTTGTATACTTGTTGACTCTGTTCATGAATTTAGATGGTTTTGGGAGGAAATCTTATTAAGACCATTAATCTTATGACAAAATGCTGGCTTCCTGGTGGTCCCCTGACTTTCTTGCTTAATGCTTCAGTAAAGATTTACCATTTAAATAGAAGTACAAATTACTTTTTATCTTTTGCCATTACTCTATATTGCATATTATGGGAAATACTTGACTCCTCCTGTGGTAGTAAAATATGGTGTGTCCTTGTAATGGAAAAGCTTTCACACCAAATATATACCCAAGAAAAGTGCTTAAAAAAAGATGGGCATTTAGAAATTTGGCCACCCTTTCTAGTGTACTCAGAGAAACAGAGCTTTCCAGCCAGCAAGCCAGAATCTTTAACCAGGTTCTCTGAATACTAACTAGATGATGAATAAGTAATAGATGATGTAGTATGTTCACGTTTTATTGTAACTTTGCCTTAATATAAGTTTCAAATATTTGGTGTTTTTCTTAAAGCCCCATCTAGTATTTCTCCAAGTTCAATCCAATGCCTTCCCACCTTTGTGCTACTATTAAAATGCTCGTTGTTTAATTAAGGATATTAATTTTACTCTTTCTGAGAGTTCCTTTAAGAACAGTTGTTAGTGCTGTCTATTTTAGTGTATTCTTTTATGCTTAAGTTATCCACTCTTGCCATAAGCTTTTATAAAACTCCTTCATTTTAATAATTTTCACTTCCTAGCTTGTAAATTAGCACTTAACATTTCAGACCCTTTAAAGTGGTCACTTATGCAGTTCAAGTGCAACACACTTAGAAGCTAATCTAATTAGAGACTGGCCTTTTCCATCAGAAAAATACACTTTTATGTGTAGGACAAAAAAATGGTGACTGCAATCAAAATGTAATAAACACAACAGAAGAGTGGGTAAAAACAAGCCATAAGTATTTGTCATTACTGTGTTTGGTATTTTTCATTCCCAGGTTAACAGCTGTGTGGCTAACCTATCCCAACATTTTCTAAGTCAAATCTTTCCTAATACTTGGATATTATAATGTTTTACAGACTCTAAAGGCAATTGACTTTCAAGTATTTTCTGGGTCCAGAATTCATGCACAGCCTCATCATTAGTATCTAAACAAAGTTAATACTTTTTGTGCATTAGAAGGTTCACACAGAAAACAAAACCTGTTCAAGTTTACTTACTAAACATAAGAGTGTAAAACACATTGTTTATCCGAAAAACAATCTAATAGAAATTATAGGTCATACCTTAAGTGAAGTTCAGAAACCTAAACTTTTACCTTATCTAGCAACCAAAATGTGAGAGGTAGTATATTAAAAACAAATCCTATGTATTCTATTTTCCATTCTATAATACTTTCCATTCTGTAACGTGTTTCTTTGGTGTCCATTAGTCCACTCATATAGCTTAGTTGATTCTCTAGATCCAGGCACTTCATTCATGTGGGAATTCAGTTATACAGTAATGTTTCTTTGTCTTCAAATGTTTCAGATGGATTTTCATATGCCAAAGTATTAAATGTGGTGGTTCCAGAAGAAATGTCGAATTATAAATTTCTGTGGAGAATTATTTGATTCCAAACATTTGAGTCTTTTTTAGAATCTGGCACTGGCAATGTTCTGTAGTGTCATGTCAACGATGAAATTAATTACCTCTAATCGAATGAGTCCTACTAATAGAGACACTACTATTGCATGTACATTTACGTTTTAAAACAATAAGTGAAAAATGTTCTTATTTCATAGTAGTACTGTACATGTATTAACTTTGTTTGCTCGCCTCCTCTCTCTAGTATATTCCACGTGTTGGTTCTGAACATAGCAGTTGTAGGACTTGGAGTGACAATTGCCATATTTTATCCAAATATAGGAGGTATTATAAGGTAGGTACCCCTTTCACTCTGAACTAGCCCTAAATAATAATTAAATGTAACTTTTGGTGTCGAAGACAAATTATCAGAGATAAAACTGTCTTATTTGTATTATTTATTATGAACACAGATTTGCAGAGAAAAATTGAGATTGACATGTGGAGCTTTGTATAATACTAGTTCTTAGAAAGGGACGTTGAAAGAGTAGAGATTAATGCCAGACAAATGTGAATTTTTAATTAAACTGACTACTGTTGCACTTAACTTCTTCAATTACTGTAATTGAGAGAGACCAAGAGAAAATATTGTTGATTTCTCTTCTGGATTTGGAAATGCTTTTGGAAAGTCAGTTCCCTCTGTTGTTAGTATGGCTCTTTTGCACAAAACGAGGAAAAGAAGGCATTTACAAAAAAATAGGAATATGTGTTTATAAAACCACTGCAATTGGCATTGGGACCAGTACAGTCACTGTAGCTGCTCTTCACTCACTCTCTGATCGGGCTGACTCAGATTTTTTTTAATTGTTATAATCTCTAGTTGTTTTATTTGTAGGTAAAATTTCTATCATCTGATAATAAAACTATAGGTTGAACCTCTCTATTCCGGCAGCCTCAGGATCTTACCGATGCTGAACCAGAGAATTTACTGAACCCCAGAAGGTCAATATTAGATGGATCTTACCGATGCTGAACCAGAGAATTTACTGAACCCCAGAAGGTCAATATTATCTAACAGAGGGGTGGGCAATATTTTTTCATGGGGGGACCACTTCAAGAATTTGGAAAGTGGTCCATGGTTGCACTCGTCCACTCTATCAATGAAGGAGGTGCAGGGTCTGGGATGGAGGTTGGGTGCAGAAGGGAGCTTGCCGTAAGAGACTGGGGTGCAGGATTTTGGGTTGTACCTAGGACAGGAGGGTAATTATGACCCGGAGGTAGGGGATATGGATGCAGGAGGGGAGGCAGAGGTTTGGATTGCCAGAGGCTAGTTATGGCTGGGAAACTTAGCTAGTTAACTCCCAGCCAGCAGCCTTCTCAGGCAGACTCCCTGCCTGCTCTACCCCTTCACTGGCTGCATGGGCCATACGGTCTTAGAATAAATACTAGTCTAAGTGGGGGGGAAGGGTGTTTTGCAAGCTGCCTGTTGACAATAGTCAGCTCCCACTGTCTGGAAACCAGCCAATGGAATTGGACTGGGTCATCAATTGAAGACTCTTCCCTCCGTCCCTGGGCTTGCAGCTATTGAAACGGGTCCTGCAGCCACCACTCTTCTTGGCATGTAGGGAGCAGAGAGGGAGCCTGCCTAAGGCTCCCTGTTGTATCCATGGGCCAGACATGGCCCGCAGGCCATATTTTGCCCAGCCTGGGTCTAACAGCATTACCAACACTTCCTGTGCTTACAGCATTTAGTGGTAAATTAGAGCTAAAGAACAGTGCAGAACCAGGACTGGTGGCTGTAAATAAACTTTATGGGACTATGGGAAACTTGGCTCCACCTAAAAGTGGACATCAGGCTAACTAAAATCATGCCAGACCACAGATGTTGCCGAACTAGAGAGATTCAGTCTGTAGTAAGATTAGTCACTGAACATAAATTACATGGAGTATGCAGTATGCTTTTCCATATGTGAATTGATTCTGATTTTTGTTTATTTATTACTGATATTTGCCCCACTGTTTAGACAACCAGTTTTCAGCCTGTTGGTGGTTCATGAACTGTGGTGTTCAACTATTTGCTATTCTTGGGTGTGTGATTGGTTACCTAAGGCCATGTCTACAGTCTAGAGTTTTTCTGGGATACTGGAGGTATCTCGGAAAAGCTCTGCATTTTTTGGAGGAGCAGACATGATTTTTTGGCATCCCTGTAAATCTCATTTTACGAGGAAGAAGGGATGTTCTGAAAGGGTCTTTTTCTGATATTTGGCCCAGTGTAGATGGGCCAAATGTTGGAAAAGCCTCTCTGAAACAAAGAAGCAGAAAAAGCCACACAATTTGTGGTTCATAATTTGCGTAGTTTTTTCCAGAAGAACAGCGTAGCGTAGACACAGCCTAAATAAATGTTTTTGTTTCGTCTGTCTATCAGGGAGCAGAAACTTTTTGAATATGGAAAAGATGACTAAATAATGAGTACTTGGCTGTACCAGGGCTTTGATAGCTCTCTGAGAATCAGAGATGATATTGGTAGCTAGTGGAGAGTCAGTCAGGAAATTAGTTGGTCCTCACTGGTACTTGTTATATTTCTTGCAGTACCAAAGAAAGGCTTTTTAGCAGCTTTTAAAGTATTGAAATATGCAATTGCATGTCTAATATGTCCTCATACACATTTCATTTAAGCCCCTGGGATGTTACCAGATTCATATCTTTGATAGTTACATTACACAGTAACAGAAGATTCTGTCTGGCCTTGTTCTGACATATGTAAGCAGATTTCCCCCCAAAAAAGCAACAACAACAACAAAAATCAAGATCAGAGTTAGGAAGTCTATCTCCAGAAGCATCTGGTTCATTTGACAGTAGGACTACCCTAGGGAAAATGTTTTACCAAGTAATTACATGCCATTGGAGGAGAAGGCGGCAGCAGATAACAAGGAATGGAAAATAATGTTTTTCGATTGTGACAGCAAATTATCATTATTAAACAAGACTGTTTTAGAAAAAATCCCAAGGAAGAAGAGTTAACACACAGCACTTTCATTTTTTGCAGATATTCTGGAGCAACTTGTGGTCTGGCCTTTGTATTTGTGTACCCATCCCTCATCTATATGATCTCTCTGCATCATTCAGGGCAGCTGACATGGTCAACGCTCATCTTTCACATCTTTATAATCATTGTAGGACTGGCTAATCTGATTGCACAATTCTTGCTGTGAAATCTCCCAGCTCTCATGTTGGTTTTCACAAGTTGTATTGTGAGGTTAGAGAACAGTCTTTGGCAGATTCACTATAAATGATGAGAACTTCCTGGGTGTGTCACTCACTCACTTCCTGAGAAAATCTGCACCTTTTGAAGGCAAAGGACAATTGTGTTTTAGTAACATGTTTTCAAGGGTTTGTAGGGAAGCACATATTTGGAAATGCTACATCATAGTAGATAAAATGGGCCAAATTTGTAAATGGTATAACTCCACTGACTGCCTTGAATGTACATCATTGATTTTGGCCCACATTTTTTTTTATTTTGGAGCGAGATTTTCACATGGATATAACTGCCAACCTTCATTTTTAGAAGTAGTTATTTTTCAGTTTTGTGCTACAGCATTCTTTTCTTCTAAAACAGTGATTCCTGCCCTTATTAGCAAACAAGCCTACATAATAGGCCACGGAGACAGTTGCACTAAATTTCTTGTATAGTTTCGGACTCTTACTGATGAATGAGTTGTATTTGTAAAGCTAATGTCTAGCCATTCAGATGACCACATACTGTTAATATAATTTTGGGTAACATTTTAAATTACATACACAAGAAACCTCAGGTATAGAAACAGCATAAGAAATCACTACCTATGCCCTGGATGCAGCATGCACGCTATCTGTCCTTCAAGAATAGGTCAAATAATGAGGGGTGTCCAAAGTTACAGCACAAGTTGATGGTTCAACTAGAATTAGGACCGGGATCCTCCTTGCTCCAAGGTGCTATTACCATTAGAATAGATATTTGTGTATTTTCATGAGCAGGTGTACTTGACACATGTACATTCGATACAAATGTGCAGAGCACTCCTGTATATCCAGTGGAGTTTTTATGCCCCTGCAAGATTTCAGATTGAAAATTCCTCATTGTGGGATAACTGTTTTTTCAAATATCCATTCTATACATGTTATACAACAGTATAGTCAGATGTACAATGCAGACAAACAGACAAAAATAACAAATTCACATTTGTGAACATTCAAAAAATCCTGTTTCTATATAGCTGCTTAATATTTGCTATTAAAATGTGCTGTAATTGAATATACAAAATATATGTGCTATATTCTGTGAGTTATGGTGCAGTTTTAGAATCACTAGTGCAAAATTTCTAATGTATCATCCTTAATCCATGCACAACTGTATCTGCAGATGTTCAGTCAGATGATTAACTGGTCATGTGTACTTGGAATTATTGTGACTGAATGCAGCGTTTCATGTGTGTGACTCTCTGAAAATCTAAGTCTGTCAATGTGTAGTGAGTAATAGCAAGGCACTGCCTTATAGAAATGCCCTCGGGACTTTGAAAAATCTCAGTCTTCTTGGTTTATCTATATGCATTTCCAATTATGTGCATATTTTTATAAAGTCAATTTCTGCTCCTGTTGAAGACAACAGGAGTTGTGCCACTGACTTTGTTGGAGAATTTATCCCATTTTGGTAGGATAAGAGTCTCTCTGAAAAGCTGTTGCTCCATAACCAGTATCTGTTAAACACCCACATGATGCAGGCATAATGCTGGTCTCTGAGAGATGTTTTCTCCGAGAAGTTAATGTTCCATCAAATGGAATCTCAATCTTGCATCTGATGTGAGTACGCAGAAATATGAATGCACTTATTCAGAGAGGGAATTGTTGGTGTGATGTTTCTAGATGCGGTAATTGTAGCACTCAGAAGCCTGGTGATAGAATTAAATAAATGGCAGCTTTCATTCTCTCTTGCCAAAATGGAAAATGAATTTAGAAATGCTTTTGGCTAGAAGCAGCAGGGTGTATAAGATTGGTGAGGAAATTGAAGCCTAAGTTGGTAGAAGAGAACTTGGAAGCTGTCTGTGGGTCAAGTTAGTGCCCTTTGTGGAGCTAGCCCCAAAATGTATAGCCAGTCAGTGTTGTGACAACAGTTTTATTGTGCACGCTTATTGTGAGGGAGGGGTATGCGCTAAGCCCAACATCACCCTGCACATATAATTCTTGCCAAAAGGGCTCATACATAAACCCACATCTTACCTAAAACACTTTATTTATGTGTGTGCCTCCAATTGCAGGGTGGCAGTGTAGGGCTAAAATTCTCTTAGAGACAGATGCCATTTTGAGAGCCCAACAACAACAGGGACTCCATTTTGGCCACCCTTCTTTTCCCGCCCTTTCTGTGTTTTGGTGGGAAACCCAGCAGACATGTGATCTTAGTCTGCCTGGTAACAGCAGGTTACTTAAGGGCTGCCTCTGGCTTTGCCCAGGGCTGTCCATCTGAGTGGCAGAGTGCAGGAGTCATTCAGATGGGTATGCCAGGGTCCACGCATATTAGATATTGGGGTTGTAGGAGGTACGCTCACATGCGAGGAGTGATATCCATTGTCACTCTTCTCTGGCTAGGACACACTTGCACCCATGGCAGCGTGGGGGAAAGTCACTCCTCTCTGGCTAGGACACACTTGCACCCACGGCAGCGTAGGGGAAAAGGGTTGGTTTGGCTGAACAGATCCAGACGAGGGAGGTTCCCGCTGTTCCGATCCTGCTGCTGTTCCAGTTGACTGAGACCGTGTCCAGAATCTGGCATCCAGGCGCTGCCGTGAGGGTCCCAAGCTGTGAGACATGGTATTGTCCCTGTGACATTCTTTCTCCAGTCACCTGGGTTCTTACCTGGTACTCACCTTAAGTCACAGCCAAGCCTGTTTTGTTCTGTTCCCTGTGCGGTCCTATCTTATTCCTGTTTATACTTACTTGTTTGTTGTTTAATAAATCCTGTTGTTCGTTCACCTTGTCTGTCTGTCCTAGTCCTTGGAGAAGTCCTAATAACTCCCAACCATAGATGTGGGTTTGGGGACTGGCCTGAAAGTCAGCTTAGTTTAAAATCATTAGTTTTCTGGCTAACAGCAGGGGAATGTTTTCTTTTCAGATTTTGGGAGAAGGAAAAAACCTTGTGCTTGCTCCTAGCATATGCCCACATGCACCTAGTTCTATTATAAAGCCAAACATTTGGGGCTGAAATAGAAAGTTGAAAGGCATGAATTAAGTAGACTGGTCTTTGGAGAAACTGAATTGTAGACTAATTGAAGGAGAAAAAGGTGAATAGTGTTTCAATACTAATAATGATGTGGGGATTGAGAGAAGCTGAGAACTGTAAGCTTTGTGATGTAGCTTTAGCTTATGTGTTTGAGGACTCTTGGTCTAAAAGGACAAAGTTTGATGCAACTAGCAGGCCAAGGATGGCCTGCTAGTTACTGAGTCCTTTAAATATTGTTTGAAGTTAACTGTAGATACTCATTACCTCTCCAGCTTAAGTTGCTATTGGCCTTATTCAAAGTTGGTATATATGGAGACTTGAGTTTTATGGTGTTGGAGCTGGTGTAAGGAGGCCAGTATGGGTGCATCTACACAGTAGTGTTATTTTGGAATAACAGACGTTATTCCAAAATAATAGTGCGAGCGTCTACACATCAGTTCCTTTATTTCAAAATAAATGTGAAATAAGACGGCTTATTCCGACATCTGTAAACCTCCTTAAATGAGGAATAATACCTATACGCTCCACTACTGCTATTTCAAAATAGCTCCACCCCAGGGCCATTCAAAGTAATTACTCCCCAGTGCCTCCTGAGTATCTAAATCAAAGTAGTGCATCCATATTAGGAGAGCCTGTCTTGGACTCATTGCGAGGCTTCTCTGTAGTGTAGACGTGCTCTTTTGAAATCCACTATTTTAGAGTATTTCTTCTGGATTAGCTTATTTCAAAATAGCGTACATCTTCACTGCATGCTTATTTGATCCATTGGATGTAAACCTGGCTCCACTGAAATCAATAGCAAAACTGTCACTGACTTCGGTATGGCCAGGATTTCACCCAGTGTAATTTACCTTTCTGAAGAATACTGGTGGTTTTAAATTCTTCTGGTGTGGTTCTTTTTGCAATTATTAGAAAACCTATTTAAACTGATTTGGTTCTGAACAAGTTGTGATGAGCAAGTTAAAGCAATTATTTTTAGCGTATTATGTAACCATTAACAGAAAAAGGGAAATTGTTTAATGAAATATTTCAAAGTGAGCATGCCACATTATGTAGCAGTGCAAGTTCTTGAAACCAAATGATTGTTTCAAACATAACTCAGTTTTTTAAATCTAGAGAAGTCCTCCCATTTAAAAAGGAGACTCTCTGGGATCTATGGTACATGCTACAGCTGAATTTGCTGTTGTGTTCAAAGGAAGATGACAGCTGGGATAGGCTTAACAAAAATTGATGATCCTGACATAGATATGGCCTTTTAACTGAATCTGTTTACAAGAATTTTGCTAATTCTTGGGAATCTTTTTACTGAGAAGTCTAGTAACTTGGCTCATAAGCAACATTTAAATGTTACCATTCAGCAAAAAATTCCTGAAAGAGATCAAGTCCATGGTGACACATCTATCTACATCTCTAGCCTCTTTCCTGTTCTTTTTATGGTGGTACAAAGCACAGTCAAAGTATTAAAAAATCACAATGGGCTATAATGGGTTAATTATTTGTAATAATGGATTGTATAATGCATTTAAAACAAAAAAGCTCCACTTAGGTCAATATTATAAATATTTGTGTGCTGTTAAACTGCTCAGAAAAGGGATATAAACAATTTGGGCCATAAAGGGAATTACATGTTGATTTTAGTACTAAATGAAAGTGGTGATTTTAAATATCTTGTAGCAGTGCCTCCATCTAAAATATTTTCACAGTAGAAACTGAAGCTAATTATTAGAACATTCTAATGCTTAAAGGTTGGATTTTCAGAAGTGCCTAAGCCAGTTAGAAGCACAGGTTTCCTGAAAATCAATGTGCTTGTGCTCCTTGCTTGCCTACGTTCCTTTGAAAATACAACTTGATTTTTTTTTGAGGGGGGGAGAAGGGCAAGGGGCACTGTTTGAATACAGCTTAAATGCTGAGTGTCACACGTGAAGTTAGACAAAAAAATTGATTGTTACATTTGTGTGCCAGGATTAAACTAATTCTCCCACACATACACACACTTAATACTTAGTGTTGACCCACTCTGGAATTTACTGTATGTAACTGTGGCCATCTAAATTTGACTCTCTATGCTATGTCATCACATATTTTAACAGAAGAGTGAAAAGAACATCCTGACCCGAACACGGTTTTGTAAAATGTAATTTATTGTCTTTTTATAGGAAAAAAATAAATTTGACTTGAAAGATCAGACCTGTGTGTTTCTTTGCCAAAAACATTTAAACAAACATAGCTCTCTCCTGAACTGCAGAATTCCCAGCTTTTTGCAGTCTGGGAATTCAACACTTCATATTATGTGATAGTTTTGTGATGCAAACTAAAATCCTTGTTGCACAAGCTTAAAGCCACTGTAATCAGTCTCTTTCACAATACAAGTCACATTGGAATCCAGGTCTTTGGCTGTGTAAAAGGCATTAAGCCAGACTACCACTTTGGCACACTATCACCATTGCTATTGCTGTACTAGGAATTCTGGGGGGCTGCACAACTTTTCGGAATGGAAGGAGTGGAGAAAAGATGGATCAGGCTCCCAACCCCACGGCCAGCATATGGTCCAGATATATATCTCACTGTGGCCACCACATGAGCTAGAAGGTTACTTACCTCCTAGGAAGAAAGTGAGAGACTTGCAGAGCTCCCTTCCAAACTATCTTATTTCTACCCACCGGACTCAGTACGTGACTCCAGCTGCATTCTCCCCCCACTCCTTAGTTCTAGGGAGGGAGGGAAGAGAGCACTAAGCTGCCAGGGTTCACTCCTTTTTTTTGCTTTTTTGTTTTTTTTGTTTGAAATAATAGTTTTTGGCTACTGTCAAATATTGTGGTTAGTCTTGTAGTTCAAGTGCTTGAAACCTGAACCTTCAGCTTTTCAGCACAGGACTCTAACATGATAGCATGAGCAGTAAGAAAGCTTGTTGGAAATTAAAGCTTTAGCTAATGTGGTTTGTTTGCTTGGCACTGCATGTGATCTCAGGCTGGTTCTGTAAAATATAATGAAAATGTCATAATTAATTTCTCTTTACTTCTGCTCAGGACTTGTGCTAATCACAATAAAAATGAATGTCATATTAAAAAAAATACTTTGAATAGCAAAAAAAGTGAATTCAGTTTAGAATTGGCTAGCCCAGCAGCTAACATATACTCATAGCTCAGACTAATGATGATAAAAGAATGTATCCACTGTATTACCCTACTGCTATTTTATAGCATCCAAAGATGTGCTAAGTGTTTTACGGAATCCAGGAAGCTATGGCCATTCCCGAAAGAATTTACAATCCTAAATTAGAGAAGGTTCTTCATTCTGGACAGTACCTTTCAGCATCCAGTCATATTGCCTCTTCCTAGTCCTCTCAGTTTTCGCTCTCAGTATATGCTGGAAGAAGGAATATTTCTTCGTCTCTTGATTTGATGGCACCCTGATGGCTCCATGATTACACAAGAATTCTAAGCAGCATCTGTATTAATTACATTAAAAACCTTACACTAGAAAGGTTATTTAGGTTACAAACTAGTCCTCAAAGGTTAGGAAATGCTACATTTCCAGATGTTCTTGCCACCTTAATTCTGCCTCTATTCTGCATCCTGAATGAGGCAGGGGGTCAGCATTAATAACAGGGTTGGAGCATATAATTAATGGACTGGAACAATGCACAGGCACAGGAGGGCAGAATGAAGGTCATGTGCCTATTTTAAGACTGATATTTCTTAACTTTTGAATGATTGAGTCTGTGGTGTAAATAACATGCTTTTTATATCGTGGTGGATTTGTGTGTGTAGTTGCTGAGGTTTATTTTTAGAAGAAAAAAGGTAAAGTATCTATGCTACAAAAAGAAGTTACTCACCCTGTGCAGTAACGATTGTTCTTCGAGATGCGTGTCCCGTGAGTGCTCCACGACCCGCCCTCCTCCCCTCTTTGGAATCTATTATTTTGTCTTTCAGACCAAGAGGCAGGAGGAACTGGCGGGAGCCGGACCAGCAGCGCTCAAACGGCGCGAAAAGCCACGAGCCGTACTTCGTGCATGCGTGGTCCGGCAGACTATGGCTAAAAAAAAAATCCGATCTGCGGCGCCGGGACAAGCCGACACCTACACTGGA